GATATATTATAATTAGCAATTTTTTTTACCCGGTAAAATGTGTTCACGCCTCAGCATGAAGACATATGTAAAATTATATAAAAGTACACACCAAATATGTCCATACATATACAATATTTTTACAATGTACATTTCTAGATAATTTCATACAATTCTACACAGTTCCGTATAATTTTATACATTACATACTTTTATGAACACTTTTTTTTAATGTGAAAAATTGCTCATTCATGATTGTATGTAATTGTGTATAATTGCACAAAGTTATATATAATTATAAATGAGCAATTTTTCCCTTTAAACAATTTTTCGTAGCATTTATAAATCCACAAAATTATATAGAACTGTGTAGAATTAAGAATCACATAGAAATATACCATGTAACAAATATGTATGGACATATTTAATGCATATTTTTATATAACACTATGCATATATTTATGCATGCTCGTGCACAAACAACTTTTTACCGGGTACAGTTAAACATTTAAGCTGTAATACTGCCAAGTTGAGCTGATTAAGCTAATCGTTTCGTCGAATGTTCTCGAGTGTAAGTACACGCGGCATTACAGAGCTCGCACATACGAGTACATAACGTTCGAGCCACACATGGACAGACACATATACAACGTAACAGACTTCGTGTTTGTAGCGCACAATATTTCGATCGGTCGGTTCTCACATTCTCGATCTTTGTTCTATTAAAAAAAAAAAAAAAATCGAGAATGTGAGAACCGACCGACCGAAATATTGCGCTTTGTGTTATTTTGCATAATTTCGAATTGTTGTTGACTGGTGTTCGGCACGTTCGATGCCATTTGTTTGAAATTTTCGAGCGATCGAATCCGAAAAGCGTGGAAGTCAAATAAGCCTAATATTGTCGTGCGACAAATTTTTCAAGCGTACTGATTGGCTGCTAAATAGAACATATCTAGGAAATTTTACTATCCAGCAGCGAATTAACACACTTAAAAAATGTGTCGTACGACAAATGTAATATTAGCTTAACACGACTGATTGTGGGCGCGCGACGATCAACGCGAAAAAAAGTGCGCATATCTGTCGACAGATAACGCCACCGGTTGCGCATGACGCACTGTTGCGATACAATGAACCCTCGTTAGGGAATAACGGATTTATACAACTTCAGCGGAAATGACACAAAGAAAATGAGATATGTGCACGCGCGATCAATTTAACGATGTCAATTAGGCACGGATCGCTCGTTACCGGCCCACCCCTTGTTTTTGGCAAATTAATTCTGTGGCATACATCGTCTCCGTCCAAGATGCAAGCCAAGAGACTTTCGGGACAGGAATTTTTACGATATGCAAATGCTGCTGTTAAAAATGCTATATTGACAGGCACCGCGATTCTCGGGCAGCTCTCTAACAATAAGTTTCGAAACTTGTCAAGTGCATAGGCAGACTTGTTAAAATTTGGGATATGGAAGAAAGTCCTCTATTATGAGATAGCTTTCCAATATGAAATAGCGGGTTTCAGCACCCAAATTCAATCACAAATCTCTTTTTCGCAACGATTACACGATCCAACGGTGAATTTTCCACTAAACAGATTTTCCATAAATTCACGATGAAACCAACAGATGATGCCTATTAATTTAGCAAAAACCCTGCTGTCTCATATTAGTTCAGCCACTTCTCACGAGATATCTAAACCGTGGCGGTATAAATGAGCTACGCTGTTCCTGTAGAGAACGAGATTTTATTCGACAAAATTATCGCGTAACGCTGCAAAAATCGAAAATGCTGTATATTACATATTTTTTTTACCGCCTTTTACCAGAAAGATGGGGAAAAAGTTGTAGCTAACGATGGACAACACTTTGAGTAGCGTGTACTTATCACTTTGTTTCGAAATAAACGTTCATCTTAAAAAAATCCTTTAAAATTAAGTTTAGTGCCCAATACATTACATAAAATCGACCTTGCAAAAGAGATCAGTAATGGTGTACACGAGGATATAGAGGAAAGTCCTTCTATTATTGAGATAGACGTCATCTGTTGATTCCACCATGAATTTATTGGCCTTGGAGTGAAATCTGTTTAGTGGAAAATTGATTGTCGTGTAGTCGTTGCGAAGGAAGATTTGTGATTGAATTCGAGTGTTGAAAACCTGCTGTTTCTTATTAGAAACTTATCTCACAATAGAGGACTTTCCTCTGTATGCATCCTACAATCTTATCAAGAATTTTCTTTTCAGTGTATAAATTATCTGTCTTTCACAATATGCGTCCTTGTTTGTAACTCGCGTGATACAAAAATGATGTTTTATCGCACGTTAACAAGAATAAGAAAGTTAACAAAGAAACCTGCTACGACTTATCGTTAAGAATGCAATAACAATGCCTTGCCTGCGCACGATCAACCGCAATCGCTATAATTTCAGGTGCGTCGGTGAATCAATGCGAATCACGACGTTAGTTTTCTTTTACTTTGTCTGTCACGATGATTCATGCCGCGTTCGACGAAAATGTCGATCGCCGCTGCATTAAGGTGGTTCTTTCCCTTTCAAAATGAGACTTGGTCAATAAAATTCAATAGAGACGATGAATTCTTTTATATTAAATTCAAGAACAGATTTTTGAACACTATTGCTTCCCTTGGAATATTAAAAACCGATAAAATAAAAAGGAGTTATAGAAAATGAAACAGTACTCTGAATTACGTAGTGTTAGCAGAGCGTTGACACTACGTAATCATAAACACTGAATTAGAAATATTACACTATGTTCAACTATAAAGAAATAGACCATTAGATGATTAAACTGCGTCTGTTGATACGGCGGCCATCTAGTGGCAGTTTTTAATTAAATTGTACAGATTGTTTATTCAAAGAAATAACGTCTCGTACAAGCATATGTTGTTTCAGTGAGACACATTTCAATCGAATAAATAGGAAGACTAAATCCAAAGAAACCTTTTACTCTGTGTATACGGTAAATCAAACGCAAACTTTACACGCATACGTGTTAATATCTAAATGAGTTTCGCTGCAAGTTTAAAGGAAATCTATAGCTTCATCATTCTTTACCTAACCACCTTCGCCTCGCGTTTGAAACGCAGCGGCGCGGCGTCCCGTTTCGCACGCGCTCGCAACGTAATTCACGTCACGGTAAAAGCGTGACAGAGCCGTACGTGAATTATTTACCTGTTAGCTCGTCGAGCCGATTAGAAAATTTCCGCTTGCGCGCGGATCAGAGTACATACGTGTTGTGTTGGAAGTTTTTGGAATAGATTCCCATCGGAATTGCTTCCTAGATTACTATCGTCTTTTCACAGAAGAAACGGAAGACTTTCGAGATTCGCAGTCTATTCCAAAATTCCATGACGCGCACCCTGGATACGTGTGGGGAATTTTTGGAATAGATTCCGATCGGAATTGTTAATTTAATTTTTTTAATTATTTCCTACATTTTTTTCTACCGCGCTTTCTAGGGGAAACGGAATAGCTCCGATTGTAATTCATTCCGAACATTTCCGTGATAGGCATCCGTAGGTGCGAATCTCTCGTTACGGAGTAACATATAATAATTGCAGAAAAAAAAATTAGAAACGATTACGTCACCGCTGTACTCGTCGAGCCTGTCGTTAAGTCGATCTTGCGGTCAAGGCGCTACGCTTTCTCCCAATGTACGTCGCAAAAATACCTGATATTATTTTCCACTGTTTTTGGCGAACTCTCGAATTAAAGGCCAGCGAATGGTGGCAATTTTTAAGGCCTGAATTGCTGAATGACGAGGTTAGACATAATCACGTAATAAATATGAATTCGCGACTTGAGATCGCGTGTAGATTTTAACATTTTCAATAAGCGGATATCACGAGACACGGCAGTGTCTCGCACCAAGTATAAGTCTCTTTTTTACCTTTTTTAATAAAAACGGTTTATAATTATACGATGACGTATAATTATGACGTACAATGCGTCAGAATGCAGGCTATTAATTCTCAGGATGAACCTCCGACACGTGGCGGTTTAGACAGAAAAACAGAATACCTATTCTCCCTTTAAAAATGTTTGGTTTCAACGTGAAAATCTTGAAATGAGATTATATTGCGTTGAAGGGAGGAAAACTTACTTAAATGAAGCAATTTTATATAATTCGATTGGGAAAAATATATGCTTGTTATTTAAGAATAATTTTCTCGAATGGAAAGGAAGCGATATTGGGGAGAAAATAACATATTTTCAAATCGAAGGTTCTAATGATTAAAATAACTTTAGTATAAAAATATTGATGTGTATTCTTCAAGCGACAAAGATAGTGTTTTAAATAATATTCTTGGAATGTAAGATTATTAAATGCTTCTAAGTAGATCATAGTTAATTTGAGTACGTGAGAATTGATCTGACACTTTTCTGCGTACGCGCGTGTATAATCCGACAAAGGCACTCGTAATTTCTCGTGTTAGCAGCGGCAGCCAGACAACAATGCAGATTCATTGTTGCCTCACGCCGCACGTGCATTGATATTAGCAGGCAGGAGCGAAGCGTAGAACGAGATACGCTTGTAAATAGTGTCAGGAAGACACCCACATCTTCCACATGCCCTGAAAATCGTTTGGTATTGAGGGAGCACCGAGACGCGCGGTATTTCCTGGAGACCTGGAGCATTGTGCTGCGACGCCGGGGCACTCGCGTGGACCTCTGTGACGGTGATGGTGACGAACGCTTAAATACCGGACACCTGTCGCTATGTCGAGGGAGAACTGGTAGTCAGGTCGGGGAGCCGGGACTCGAATCGCGCTCTACTCGAAAGCACTAGAGGTCCTGTAATCAGAGACGATCGTGGTTTCGTAAAAGAGTGAGGTGGCCTACGTTTCTCTCTCACTCGCAGGAATTTGACGAACTCTTGTGGCCAGTCTCTGAGTACAGGATCCTTTAGCGAGCACGAGCTCCGCCGGGCGACGATGGTGGGGGCGATCGGCGCGACTGGAAACTTGCCATCGCCAGGAACAGGCCTGATATCATTCCTTTGGTGCCGTTCGCCTCGCGACGTTGCAATACACCACCCATCTCACCTTCGCGGAGCACGTTCGCGTCAAGTGAAGGCAAGCGTGTGCGAAGCGCGGCCGCGCGGCTACACGCCCGCCTGTGCGCGCGCGTACGCACGCACGCACACACGCGGGGGTCGCGAACGGACACCTGTTGCACCATCGACCTGAGCACAGTCGACGCCGAGCAGTCGTGGTCGCGGGTCCAAGGTGGTCTCCCCCCAGAGTGTACGTTCACCGAGTGCATAAATACATCGACCGAGAAATCTTCGCAGTGCTCGCGATCTTTCCGAGCGGCTATTTAATTTAGCGAGCGTCTCTGCTATTGTGCTATTGTGATACCGAAAGACCGGGCACGGTAAGATACGTGTTTGTAAACAGTCACTCGGGTAATAGGTCCATAGAGGAAATTTTTAGGAAACGTACGAAATCTTGTTGTCTGTAAATTATGTGAGACTGGTTTATCATTTCGTGTACGCTGTTCAGGCGATTTGACAGAAAATAATAACACGAAAGAACATAACGTGCATTAAGGTGTTATGTTTTTTTTCTAAATATTGTTATTAGATGTTGATTGCACATTTACAGATTGATGGGAATTGTGAAAATTGTGAGTGTCAGCGAGAATTGACTCGCGACGGAATATAAACTTTTGTTCAATGCGAGAAAGGGCAAAGTGAGAGTCGAATATTAAGAAAGGACAAGAAATAAATATATAAAGTTAATAAAATGCGTTCTACTGTTCTCTCATCTTATCATTTTGTATAAATTCATGATCTATCGGGTCAAGCAATAAGACATAAATCTCTACGATATGTTACTGTTGCTTTACTTATGCTAAATGAGAGTTGTTGATGACTTGATCACTCCAGATTGAATAATTAATTAATACACAATTGGCGTTGTCATTGCTGGATTACGTGATAAAATTGCAACGTGTCGTTTTTACTGATTAAATTGTACATCATATTTGAGTACGCGGGGAAATAAAATACGAACGATAGCGTGCAATGCTTTTTACAATAAAAGTTTATTAAACAAAACTAATGACTCCAATAATAATATTCAATGTGAGAAAGGGCAAGAAATAAATATATAAAGTTAATAAAATGCGTTCTACCGTTATCTTAGTTCATTGTTTTATTAACTTAATATATTTATGAATATTATTATTGGAATCATTAGTTTTGTTTAATAAACTTTTATTGTATAAAGCATTGCACGCTATCGTTCGTATTTTACTTCCCCGCGTACTCAAATATGATATACACAGTGAAAACCACAAGTTGCAATTTTACCACGTAATCTACAATAGTAATGACAACGTAAATTTTGTATTAATTAATCATTAATTCTGGAGTGATCAACAAGTCATCAACAACTGTCATTTAGCATAAGTAAAGCAACAGTAATATATTGCAGATATTTGTCTAATCGCTTGACCCAATAAATCATGAATTTATTCAAAATATGCATATAGTATATTTTGTATAATAAGCCAAAGTCTACGAATAAATGTTTCATCATACGAGGCATTAATTTTCACACTCTACAAATTATAAATCTAAAGTAATTGTGGGTCGCGCATTTCCTTAAACTTTAGTTTTCATCGGTACGAATGTCGTTATCAACTTAAGAATTAGTACACCTGCATGTGATTTAACGCCGATGAAAAGATTTTTGGTTTGAGTAATTATTTTTTATCAATATCATGTTTGTATCATGTTTTCGAGCAATAGCAAGAGATTCAGAAATACAAATGCGAAGATATCCCGTATCTTGATAAAATTGTGCAATTCATCATAATTAATATACGATTAGATATAGCGTTATATAATCTTGTGGTCGCAGATATAAAAGCTCCAAAGATCTCTCATTTTAAAGAATCATCTGCCAGCGAGCTGTAACTGAAAGGATACTTATTAAATGGTTAACAGTGCCTAAACAGCAAAAATGTCATTGAATTTAGCCGACGATCAGCGATTTGCTTTAATGAAGGTAAGCTGTAGAAGTATAATTTATTCTCTAGAAAATTAAGAAATATTCTCTCTCTTTCTCTCTCTCGCGCCTGTTCTTGCTCTCACGGAAACATTAAAAAACTAAAATATCGACAGACAAGTGCACTTTTACATATCCTTTTAGATATCCTTTATAAAAAAAAATAAATAATAGACTAAAATAAGAATTTCTGTGCAAAAATGTATGAAACATTTAGAGTATCGATGCCAATAATCCTTTTAAATTTCGTATTTCTCGGTTTCTCGTCCTCTACTCTCGCAGAATGAGAAAGATACCTCTCGTAATTGTTAGTAATAAATGAGTTTTCAAATCTTTTAGCTCTATATGAACCTAATTTTAACAGAGCATGTGTACTATTGACAGAAAACATATGCGCAGGCAAGAGAGATATAAATTCTGTATTTAATTTTATTACGCGCAATGTGAATATCGTATATTTTCATAAAATCGATGGATATATACGAATAATTATTAATAAAAAAAACCATTTAATATATCACTGAGATAATATTTAATAGATTATAGAAATATATTACAATTTTTCAAAAATTATAACGCAATAAAATTCAGAGGATTGTTATTACCTTACGAATTCCAATTAATGGCGAAAGTTCAATGATTCCATAAATTAATCGTATTAATCGTATATTCGCAGCGAGTATGATTAACACTGGCCAACTAACGAAGTTATCTCTATCACTTTCACTTTCTTTTGAACATAAAGATAAAAAACAAGGTTACTTGAAAGATCACAATGTTTTGTTTGCTATACTTGAGATATTTCCTCGTATATTTGAAAAACGAGTAAACATCGATAATCATTAAACTTTCGTTCCGACGCGATTAATGTATCGAAATAAAAAAAACAATCAAAATAAAACATCACGATACCACGATATTAAAGAGACGCAAAAAGAAGCGCCTACTATACTACGTATCTGTATAATATTTATTTATTATTCGTACAGTGTAGGCATTATTTTATATTTTACTTACACGCGTGAAAATGATACGGCGGTGTCGGTAGTAAAAAAGATATGATAAAGTCTTATTTCCATAATTAGAGTTTCCATCCAATATTATTCACGCATCCGTCCATTCTTCATTCCAATAATCTTCACACTAGCCCGAGACAGTTCGAAAATATTCATTAATCTTGAAACACGCGCATAAATTTATTTAATAACTGTAATTATATGTAAATACGTCTCTTTTAAATGTTACGTAATTAAATAACATATTTTTTGTTCTCAATCAAACAGAAGCGGAAGCTAAAGAAAATGTTTTTTTAATGAAAATGAAATAAAATTAAGATATTAATAAAAGAAAATTGCGCATAAGACGAGGAACTAGATACAGCAAATAATTATTTCGTGTTTTTTTTTTACAGTAGAGAAAGTACTTTTGTCAGCCTGTCCCTCTCTAAAATTTTAAAAAGAGAAACATGTTTAATTAAGAAGCACTGCATTATCTATAAATGTTATTAACTAATTGTAAGAAGCGATGCAAATAAATAATGCTACGGGAATTTTATACTTTCGAGGATATAAAATCGAGGTAAAACATTTTTACGTTTCAACAAGTGGTTAAAAATATTTTTGTCGATATCCTTGAGCGAAATTGTAGGCAGTGGTTCGGGAAAGATTTTCTCAAAAGGAGCAGGTTACTTCAGTTTTAGCAATAGCGATTTCTCAATAGGGTTAAAACTTTCGTGATACAGCAAAGGCTTCATTGCGCGTAGAGAAATTGCTTCATTCCTCTCGCAACCTGGTGATCATTCACCTCTCATATCTGGAACGAGTAGTAAGTCGAGCACTTATTTCAAGCAGCGGATCGCGAAGAAATCGACGATGGTACTTACTTTCCGATTGAGTTAGTTGTAAGAAAACTACCGTCGTATGAGTTCGAACTATGATTTCGTTTCAATGCTCAATCGATTTCTTCGATCAAAATTCATAAACAAAACGAAAATCGATTTTGACGATCCTTTTCTTTATATTTATTACGCTTCATTCATATCTTGATAGTAAGAATTTTACCATCCACCCATACAGCACGCATGTCTAAAAGGCATCTTTAAGACGACTTAAACACACGCGTGTTGTTTAGGTGTTTAGGAATTAACAAATTCATCGCAAGAAAGGATAAAACATTTTTGTACATGAAACACGTGCGTTGAAAAGATTTACTAACTCGCCTAGCTTTTAATTTACTTGTCCGACACAAAAGCGTGATTGGTTATCGATTTTGTTCCCTGTTGATCGAGAGGAAAACAATGCATTGTCGACGCAGCGGCGACGCGACGTGGTAACTGTTATCGTTACGACCGGATGACCCTGCGGCCGAGGATAATCGAGTATACGCAACTCCCGCGACACACTTTAAATAAAAGGGTCCTCAAGGCATACCGCCGTCTTGCATTACAACAGCGGACGCAAACATCGAACGTAAAAATAAGCGAAATGCCTCTCGCTGTGTACACATGCATAGAATAAGTTCTCCTTGGGTCGTCTGCATGAAGCAATCGTATACGAAATGTCGTGGAAACGTTAGAAATTTACAATTAAAGTCTGGCTTGATACATGAGGTAGAGTAAGCGCGAAAGTTATGTCGAAAGAAACGCAAGATTTAGTAAATATATGCACTATAATTTGCAGAGTAACATTCGCTTTCGTGCGGTTACTAAAATGTCATTACAAATAACTGTCTTCGTGGCTCAAAGAAATTGTAAACGATTAATTAAATAAACATTAGTACTGAATAAAAGAAAATATTATTAATAAAATTTTTAATATATATTATAATTAATGGAACTAAATAAAGTTTCACATTAATGAAGTTAAACGTTATTTCCAAAATTGCGTTTCTGCAATCGCATAAAAGCAAAAGAAACTTTAGATTTATAGTATTTCTAAATATATTCCTGCACTCAGAGAAATTTTAGTGAAGAAAAAATTAAGAATCCGCGTATTCATTCGAGATTTTTGAAAACCTCTTATTTTAAATACACATATTCTCAAAATTAATCCGTTGAATTTTAAAATAAACTAAAACTATTTCAAAACTAACATAAAATTCTCATTTTGAAACTAGACGTTCTCATTATTATCTTTGAGAATGAAATAAGCTT